TKTWYMMCASASWAYCTYMSWGTRYAAATMAGYTGTTATTTYCMWYMAWTAACAAAACCMATAGCTACTTYCGGTCGTGCAATCGCCGTTTGACAATTGMCATTCGMCMCTTTTTCGCGAYCTGACAACCTTTTTGGAAATATAATAAGTATATGACCAGAGAATGACAAATGTTTTGGAGTAGATTCCTCTGACTTTATGAAGCAAAACGTTTTATTGAAGAATTATTACTAAGTAACWTTCTATCTATAGATTGTCGCCACAGGGATGATTGGATCAATTGCTAGTTTACCAGTCAATGCACAACGTAGATATTTGGTGAGTAACGTCTGAAAAGCTGATTCATATACATCTATTTCATTTTATCCGACGACATTCTTGAAATAGGTATTATACCGCAAACAGAGCTGACCTGAAAGATTAACTTGAAACAAAACCGAAAAAAATAAAAAAAATAGAGTCAGAAGCTTCTTAATTTGGCTTATTGTTGCTTACATAAGACTTTGTTTTCTGCTGTTTCTTTACTTCATCAAAAGGCGTTTCTGACCCGTTGACTCTTAGTGACTCTCGATTTCAATTAACCCTTTACAGTCCACAGGAAACCCAATTGTTACTTGTGTTTTTTTTCGAATCAATCTTATTAGCACTTTTCATTATTGTCCATTTCAAGCAATGTTTTTGTTACCTATATCCAGAGCAGCCTTCTTTTAGCTTGTTTCAGACAGGTCATGTGCAACAAAGAAAGCTACAATCAGAGCCTAAAATGTAACACACTTGTATTTTTTTATTTGATTTTTTCATTTTAGCCTTTTTTCCCATTGATCCTTTTAGCACTTTTCAGTCCTATCTCTTYAATTAGCCAAATTTTCTTATTTTTATTCTTGATGAATAAGGCTTGCAATGATATGGGTACAGTTCACCTTTTGTTACAGTGATCCTCTGTATCCCCACCCCCCTTCCCCCCTAACCCCCCCTTACAAAAAACATCAACACAGGAACCCATTTATGAATGAATTAATAGCATAATTTCTTTTTTTAGGTGATTACTTACTTCATATCATCCATCATATCRATGCTTCTTGCACTCATTATAGCAGACTGCTATATCGTTAGTCTTGTATTCATAGCAAGAGAGGGTGATTGTAACTACGATCTGATGGGCAAACCTTCCCCTGTTACCCGGTACTATGGCACAGTTCCTGCCGACCGGCAGTGTGAGATACGAAGGAAGTAYGCAGTAGTCATGATTGTGATCGGCCTKTGTGAGCTTTTAAGTGGAATACTTGCCATTTACAATTGCATCCAAATCTATAGAAGTCGGAAACAACATGCTTTAGCACAAATGGATCCTATCCTTCCTGACCCAGAAACACTGGTAARTATGGGGTAGATCCAGGATTGATCGTTTTCAACCTTTMCCATGAGATTTAAAAGATAAAGGACAGGWGGCCATGTTGGAGGAAGGAACAATAGATGCTAATGAGAAATCTTTTKTTAAAGTTCCTCCAAGATGGCCRCTGTGACATMACCTGAAAACAAAGAATTAGTCTTAGGAGGAGGTACGCACTCCTGCACCAAACATGTGCATCTGTCCCTGGATTATCAAGTTTATATTTAAGAAATATAAAACGGAGCGCGTGTCTCTGTCCTCTGATATAAACACGG